TTCAGTGCTGACGGTAATTACGAGGTGACGCTGATGACAAAGGCAACACTTAAATACACAGGCGAGGTGGTGTGGAGGCCTCCAGCCATCTACAAGTCTTCTTGTGAGATCGACGTCGAGTGGTTCCCCTTCGACGAGCAATCTTGCAACATGAAATTTGGCTCTTGGACCTACGACGGCATGCAGGTCGGTGCTTTAGAGAGTGAGAGAAATGAAAGTAGGGTGACGAAGATAAGTCGTAACATGTTCACTTACAGGAAGTGTCTTGACAGTAAGGAAGTGAGCACTTATAGGAAGAAGAAAATATAGAAAAAGGCAGTTAGGTCTTCCTCAAGCGTGTACGATAAGAATGGTGAGGGCATGAAATCCTCGTTGGTGATCACCACTTACAGTACCTGTCACCATCACATGTACCAGACAAGGGAAAATCTCTCTAACAAAATATTACCCTACATTCAATAGTGAGAAGACCCAGTGGCTGTTCACACTCACTTTTTACAGAAAAGTCAACGTTATATCTAGTCTCGTAGTAATATTAAGTAATATACATTACTTTATTTCTAATATAAACTGTAACATCAAAATACTGTGGCACAAAGAGAACACATTCAAAAGTTGGAGATGCCAGCCTGGCCAGCACGGCACTAATTACGGGTACAAAATGCCTCTAATAGGTACTTTTATAAGCATCTAAATGTCAAAACTACAAGAGCTATGTCTAAAAGTTTCGAGCAACAAGTCAGGTCCTTGCCCAATCGAAATATGTAAAAATCATTTTATTTTTGTACATTTAGTTTGTAAAGTGAATTGGGTATCCATCTGGGGATTGTCTTCAGTGTGATGGTCAGTTTTAGCACACATACACAAGCAATAACATTGGTCTTAGTACTGATCCTTGTGGGACCTCACTCGTCTAATTCACCTGTTCCATCACTTCTTTAACTTGCTCTTTCCTTGTTGTTTCCTCTATTTGTGGCTGCAGGAGTCGAGTCCGAGTTCTTATGTACATACTCTCTCCCTCCTCCTTGAACTTTATCGTACCTCTTCTTAAAGCTATGTATGGATCTTGCCTCCAATACATCACTCTATAGATTATTCCACTTCCTGGCAAGTCTATGCCTAAGGAAATACTTCCCAACAACCATGTAACTCATCTGAATCTTCACCTTGTGAACGTTGTTCTGTCCGTTGAAGCGGAAGAATGATATATATATATATATATATATATATATATATAATATATATATATATATATATATATATATATATATATATATATATATATATATATATATATATATATATATGCAAGGAATTCGCAAGAGCAGGCGATCTCTGACCTCTGGTCGAAGGAGACTCGAACCTACGAACTTTGGAACAAGGTATGCAGTGCTTTACCATTCTCACCACACTGGACCAATACCTTGGCGTCCAGCTTGCGCTAGACGTTAATCCAAGGCAGCCAGCTTTCAGGGAGAAGGCTTACAGCTTTTCATCTCATCCCCTGCTTGCATCAACCTAACTAGAGATTTTAACAATGCAAGGAATTCGCAAGGAATTCGTAGATTCGAGTCTCCTTCGGCCAGAGATCCGTTTTTGTGTATACTTCGTCTGCTCTTGCGAATTCCTTGCATTGTTAAAATCTCTAGTAAGGCTGATGCATGCAGGGGATGAGATGAAAAGCTGTAAGCCTTCTCCCTGAAAGCTGGCTGCCTTGGATCAACGTCTAGCGCAAGCTGGACGCCAAGGTATTGGTCTAGTGTGGTGAGAATGGTAAAGCACTGTGTACCTTGTTCCAAGGTTCGTAGGTTCGAGTGTCCTTCGGCCAGAGATCAGTGTTTATTTATATATAATATATATATAATATATATATATATATATATATATATATATATATATATATATATATATATATAAACATCTAATAATCAGCAAAAATGAAGTGAAACACACAAGACAAACAGCCGTGTGACAGCATTTAAAAGCAGCAGGAAAGTGGAGATTTATCGCCGTCATAAAACTGTGAATTTATTGCCCTCAGTTCTATTTCTGTTCATCTCCAGACTTTCTTCTCTGCTTGAGACGCTGATTAAGCTGTCGAGACCTTTTTATCCTAGGATACTGACTTTCGAAGTCATCTATTACCAGTCCTTTATTTTTTTAAGCCAATTTAAGGTTTTAATTCTTTTTTTTTTTAAGATAACAGTATGAAAAGTTATTTAGGAACTTTATTTAACTCATGCCAATCTTCGTGTGAGTGAGCCTTCTATTTATACAGGAAAAATCCGGTGTTATGCTTCACTAACATAGAAAGTATTGGAAACAAGTGCGTCGTGAGGGGCTCAGTTGAATCAAGATGTTAGGTAAAAGGACACAAGTGCAACTAATGCGACATTATATTGCAGCAACGTTTCGCTCTCCAGGAGCTTTGTTAAGCCCTTACAAACAATACATAGACACAGGGTATATATAGGCTTAGAGTGAGGTGTAATACTTGTGGTAGTAGTAGTAGTATTAGTTGTAGTAGTAGTAGTAGTAGTAATGCAATATGGTAGAACAATCAACTTGCATTGAAGTAGAAGGTTATAAAAGCTATTACTTGAGTATTATAAAAAAAAGTTAGACAAATATTTCTGTTAGTGGTTGGATTTGAGGTCTGTTTCAGTGCTCCTCCTCTCTTATGTTCTTGTGTAGTGTTAGAAGCAGTGACTATGTGATGGCAGGGTTTATTGTTTTGTAGAGGACTTTTGTTAATACTTCAGAGATGATGAAGCTGCCTTTATTTTCCTTGATTGTGTTAGAAACAGCTATTAATGTTGATTCAAGACATTTACGTCTGCGGAAATTGGGTCCTCTGATTACTAGTCGGGCGTCGTTGAATTTCATGAGGTGATTGGTGGAATTCCGGTGTTGTATGCAGGCGCTCTTCAAGTTATTATTCCTACAGGCGTTAATGTGTTCATGGAAGCGTGTTTCGAGGTTCCTAGCTGTTTCACCTACATATATCTTGTCACAGCCTCCACAAGGTATAGTATAAACTCCTGCACTGACTGGTTCATGGTGGTTCGATTTTGTCCTGGTTAGATTCCTTATGGAAGTGCTGGATGCGATGGTGACTCTAGCCCGTTAACTGTCCAAATGTAGATCTACGTTTTCGCTTGTAGCGCTCCGACCTTGATTTTCTCCATTAGAAAAACATGTAACAAAAACGTAGATTTACGTTCGGAGCACTACGCGAGTGAACGTAGATCTACGTTTGGACAGTTAACGGGCTAGTGTCAGTTTGTGCCAGTACCTTGGAAACGCTCAATGCAACCTGGCTGTTGGGAAGGATTATAATTGTGATGATCTGAAGTGCTCTTTTCTTGCAGTCTTTGATGAGAAAAAATGGAACTAAACCTTCACTGATCTACATTTTCCATTTTTTTTTACCTACAACAATACGAATCAAGATATTTAGAAAAAGTGTTTTTATTCTCTTTAGCACATTCACACTTATCATTATCTAGATATTACATGATACTAGACGAAAACTTCCTTTCGGGGTGTTAAGGTAATCATTCCCTCTTTCCTAACATGCGACTATGACTTAGGTACTTGTATACTGAAGAGCGAACAAGGGAGACATACCCATACGTCTCTGCTACAACAGTATAATGTGACACATCACAACACAATTATATTTCCTTTCACTGCTGAAAGTTGAGAGTTATTGACGCTACAAGCATGAGATTATGTTTACTGGGCCAGTTTGTTTTATGTAGAGAACGAGCTACGGGTTGATCTGTGTAAGACGTTATTCGAAAAGATAATTCATGTCTAATCTCTCTCATGTTCTCTGCTATACTAACGTAGGGACCTACTATGGGCCAGTAGGCCTGCTGCAGTGTTCCTCCATTCCTATTTTCTCATGTTCACCGGAATCAACATGCACTATATCACCAGTCTAGTCCAGGACAGTTACCATTCCCTGTAACATACTATACACCACTTACCACGACCCATAACTCCAGTTACATGTTCAATACCACTCCACTGGCCTGAATACTCCCTCAGTCTTAACGCCACTTACTACAACCAGTGGGATCAGTTATATTCTCAATACCACTTAAAACAATTACCATCACTTACACAGTTCAAAACAATAACACTTAACACAACCCACATAACGCATATATCACATGCAACATCACCCATAACACATACATCACCCATAACACATACATCACCCATAACACATACATCACCCATAACACATTCATCACCCATAACACATACATCACCCATAACACATACATCACCCATAACACATACAACATCACCCATAACACATACAACATCACCCATACTCTAACAAAATAAGGGTCATAAGAACAACACGGAATCATTTTTTTCAATCTCAGTGTGAAAAAAATAAATTAAACTAAGAGGCGATGGGGACAAACACTACATAGCTTTAAGAGCAGGTATGACTGGGCCCAGCAGGTAATGAATCAGGAACGGTGGCCGATGATTGTTAAAAATCGGATATACGAGTATATGCGGGTATTATTTTTCTAATGGTATTGGTACGAAAACTTGTGATCAACATCGGTATTCACCATCTCCCTCTCGTGTTGTTGATCCGGGTGAAGGGCTCTTGATCCAAAGAAATGGAGGTATTCTCCCTTTCGTTTAATTAACCCTAATTCCCTACCACCCATAGGTGCTGCATGACCCCTAGTGGTTTAGCGCATTCCCATAATTCTGATAGTAATAATAATAATAATAATAATAATAATAATAATAATAATAATAATAATAATAATAATAATAATCTTTGTCATTTTGTGAATAAGGATATTTTTCCCCCCTCATTTATAATTTTGGTTTTTAATCATTATTCTTGAGAGTATATTTATGCTGCAAATAATTCACTGCTCGAAGTAATTTTTGTTTAGTTAGGCTGGTGTGTGGCTCACCGTCCATCAACCTAAATGGCATTTTTCTTGCCATTCATCAGAAGTTAAAACTGGTCCAGCTTGAGATGATGCGAGGAAGGTTGTGCAGATGCAGGTGTGAGTTCCACGGCTTGGGTGTGAGCTCTACGACTTGGGTGTGAGCTCTACAATAGGTGAAACCTATCTTACCGGCGTGGATAGGTGCCACCTACTGTATACCTTCCACCAGCGCTTACACAAGCGTTG